ACATGGTGGCTCACAACAGTCTGTAACTCCAGTTCTAGAGGATCCATGTTCTCCTCTTACCTCCACGTGCATCACACATACATGTGGAGTACAAATGTACATACATTTAAACATGTATGCAAAAATTTATGCACATCAGGTGTTTAAAAAATTATAAATAAAACCTAGTAATCTAGTATATGCCTAGAATCCTTGCACTCAGTCATCTAAGGTAGGAGTATCATGAGTTAGAAGTAAACATGCTACATTAAAAAACCCTGTCTAAAAAAAGAAAAGACACAGGCCTTTAATGATGCACACACCTTACTCCCAGCTCTTGAGAGGCAGAAGCAGGCAGATATCTGAGTTCCAGGCTAGCCTGATCTACAAAGTGTTGGTATAATGTTCTTGTGGAATATATACAGTTTACCCTTGTTTATTCACATGCTGATTTCTCTACCCCACTATCTGGTTTCAATCTAGATATTGCATTGTGATGTTTATTCTAAGCACCACTTGTCTCAAGTTTGGGTAAACATGCCACCATTTGTTCTCTGTAGTTTCAATAAAACAATCAGCCAAAATGCTGTGCAATGGAGAGAATAGGGTGGGACACCCTAGTCCGGAGGGGAGGAGAAAGAAGCAAGTGGGAGGAGTCGGAGAGCAGAGATTGGTAGGAGAGGACTTGGAACCATGAGGAGAGATAAACTGGACCTAATATATTAAAAGCAAGCATAATGTGGAAAATCTGAATGGGAGGAAACTGTGAGGGCTTGAAGGTTTAGAATGGAGTAATTATTGTCCAGCATTGTGCTCTAGGTTAAGTAAATCCTAGTCTTAGTGTGGTGATTTCGGTATACAGCTGGTTTAGGAATAACTACTGTTTAACTAAAAGATAAATCTATAATAAGTATTAATAGCCTACAACAATAAAGTGAGTTTCAGGACAGCCGGAGATACACAGAGAAACCCTGTCTCAAAAACACCAAAGTAGATAGGTAGGTAGGTAGCTAGATAGCTACATAGATAAATAGATGATAGACAGATAACTAAATAAACAGAAAATTAATTCTAAATCAAGTGAGATCCCTCCTCTTCCTGCCATTCTCTGGTGGCCTCTCACTGCAAAGAAAAGAAAGTCCCAGCTCTTGATAATGGCCTGCCTGTGAGCTTTCTCTGTCCAGACTTAGGGGCTTGTTGTCTTGGTGATGTAAGTCCTGTAAAGCTTGTGGGTCTTTGGACAATTTTTTTTTCTTTAATTGGTTTTTCAAGACAGGGTCTCTCTGTGTAGCCTTGGCTGTCTGGAACCCACTCTGTAGACCTCAAACTCAGAAAGATCCTTCTGCCTCTGGCCCCTGAGTGCTGGGATTAATGGAGTACATTACCACACTCATAATATAGTTTTTCTTTTTTTTTTTTTTTTTTTTTTTAGCTTTTTAGAGACAGGGTTTGTCTGTGTAGACAAGATCCTTCTGCCTCTCTGAGTGCTGGGATTACAGGTGTGCCCCACCCAGCTGTGTTGTTCTTTTAAAGCACTCTTTTGCAGATTTAGCCCATAGCTGCTCCTTTCCCACCACTGAACTCTGATGTTCTCTCTGCTGCCCTGAGCTACTGGCTAATGAAGCCAGTGCCACCCTTCTGTCCTTCCTCTACCTATTGGATGATCTGTTTTATTTTCCTGAGCATTTGTTACTACCAGAATTGATCTTGTTTGCTGTGTCTGCTCTCTGTCATTGTCCACTAGCCCAGAATGATAAGCTTCGGAAGGGCAGGTACTTTGATTTCTTTGATACTATATTTATAGCATTTTGCACAGTACCTAGCCCAGAGACCTATGCTCAACAAGTCTTTATTAGCTCGTGGATTATGGGAGAATCCTGATAGTTGACAGTCATCAGGAAACACTTTGGTAGAAGGCACAGCAGTGCCAGGAGCCAGAGAAGGGCTGAGGATACAGGATGGTTCAAACATACAGATTATGGGACTGGATGGTGGTGGATCCACCAGCACTTGGGAGGCAGGTGGATCTTTTAGTTTGAGGGCAGCCTGGTCTACAGAGTGAGTTCCAGGCCAGTCAGGGCTACACAGAGAAACCCTGTCTTGAAAATCTAAAAACAAAAGAAAACACACACACACATTATAGGCTCAGACAAACTAGGCTAGAATCTGCTTCTGTTTAACTTGTTCATGTGACTTTGGCCAAATGACTCAGTCTTTCTGAAGCCCAGCTCCTCCTCTGTCAAGCGAAGATGACTGATGACTACTCTCAAGTGCCTAAGGGTTATGTTCTTTTGTTGTTTAAAACAGGATTTTGACAGGCGTGGTGGCACACACCTTTAATCCCAGCACTCAGGGAGGCAGAGGCAGATGAATCTTTGTGAGTTTGAGCCCAACCTAGTCTATAAAGCAAGACCAGGACAGCCAAAGCTACAAAGAGAAACCCTGTCTCAAAACCAACCAACCAAGCAAGCAAGCAAATAAATAAAGACAGGATCTTTTTTTTTTTTTTTTTTTTTTAAGATTTATTTATTATTTATTAAGTGTTCTGCCTGCATGTGTGCCTCAGGACAGCAGAGGGCATCAGATGGTTGTGAGCCACCATGTGGTGGCTGGGAATTGAACTCAGGACTTTTGGAAGAGCAGACAGTGCTCTTAACTGCTGAGCCATCACTGTAGCCCCAAAGACAGGATCTTGTGTAGCTCATGATAGATATGACTACTCCATAACTCAGGCTGGCTTTAGATTCCTTACACTTATTCACAGCCCACACCCTTCTGTAACTCCGGTTCCAGAGGCTCTAATACTCTTTATGGGCACTAGGTAGACATATACATGCAGGTAAAACACTCATATACATAAGATAAAAATAAATATTTTTACCTCTCAAGTGCTAAGATTATGACTCAAGGCTTCTTATAAGAATTTTAAGGGGGCTGGAGAGATGGCTCAGAGGTTAAGAGAACTGGCTGCTCTTCCAGAGGACCTGGGTTCAACTCCCAGCACCCACATGGCAGCTCACAACTGTCTGTAGCTCCAGTTCCAGCTTATCTGGTACCTTCACCAATATATATGCAAACAAAAAACCAATACACATAAAATAAAAAAAGAATTTAAAAAGATCACACACATAGTCATACTTGGCATGTACCACAAACTGAATGAAATTTGAATTTTCTACATAAGGAATCTCTCTTGCTTGACCAGGTTGCACTCAGTAGCGCAGAGGCCTGCCTTGATCTCATGGCAATTCTACTGTCTCAGCCTATTGAGTAGGCTAGATTACAAGTAGTAATTACAGGTAGTAGTATTGGATTACAAGTAGTCTGTAGTCACCACTTTCTACCATCATAGCTGGCATTGTCTTCTTCCATCTGAGAGCTCCCAACCCCCTGATTCCTAGGTCCTGCCTATATTGTAGTTTTGGATACACAGCCACTCTGAGAGCCTGTCTGTCTGTGACTACCAGATCCCTACTTCTCTGAAGGATGTAGAGGAGGCAGGAGCAAACAAACAAAAATCAAAACAAAACAGAAAGAGAGAATAAATACAAAATAGACCTGCCAGCTTCAGACTCTCACCAACATTCTAGTTAGGGGCAGTTGGTTATCTGTCACCTAATGCTTGCTGGTACTGAATGTCCTGGGGAAGGACTTGAATTTGGCTGACGTCAGAATCCTCCCCTAATGCTGAACCATATCTGCAGGTTAGGGATGGTGAGGGACATGGCTCTCTGCACTTCTCCCTGGATGCCTCAGCCCATGCTCCCTTGACAATCATTGTTTCTTTGGGGTCCAAGGGAACTAACTCATCAGCCCACTGATTTCATCTGGATCCACACAGGACACCACACTGTTTGATAATATGAATTGAGACTGAATATTTAAAAAAAAATAGAACTAAAAAAATTTCAAGTTAGCTGGGCTAAATGTAATCCTGGGCAGAATCTCTGTGAGTTCAAGGCCAACTTTGTCTACAGTGTAAATTTCAGGCCATCCATGGCTATATAGTAAGATTCTGTATAAAAAGGGTGACTGGGGCTGGAGAGATGGCTCAGAGGTTAAGAGCACTGACTGCTCTTCCAAAGGTCCTGAGTTCAATTCCCAGCCACCATATGGTGGCTCACAACCATCTATAATGAGATCTGGTGCTTTCTTCTGGTGTGCAGGTGTACATGCTGGCAGAATAATGTATACATAATAAATAAACAAATAAATAAATAAATCTTAAAAAAAATAAAGGGTGACCAGACAAACAGAAAACCAGCTTGGTGGCACATACCTATAACCCCAGTGTTTGGGAGGTAGAAGGTAAGAGGACCAAGAATTCAAGGTTATCCTTGACTATGTAGTGAGTTCAAGGACTAGGGTACTATGACAGCCTGTCTCAAAAACTCCAAACAAAACAAAAACTGGAAGAACTTTCATACATCTTGGTCTTATGCCTGGCATTTGTTTTGCATAAGGTGTTAAGCTATGGAACACAGCCCACGGTGGGGGGAGGGGTGGGGGAGGGTGGCTCACATCTGTATTCCCAGCCCTAGAGAGGCCAACCTGTTCTACAGAGCAAGAAGTTCCAGAGCAACCTGTTCTACAGTCAAGACTACACAGAGAAGCTGTGTCTCAAAAAACCAAACCAAACCAAACCAAACCAAACCAAACCAAACCAAACCAAAAAGGGATGGAACAAGAACACAGACAAATGAACAAGAAACAGCAAAACACAAGCAGAAGAGCCAAGTATAATTATTGATTTTCTATTGTGGAAGTGTGTTTGGGGTCAGAGAGGAAACACGGAGGGGGGGAGTGGCTGAATTAAAGATTAGTTAGGTATTTGAGGAAGAGTTGCTATTGGTAACTCCTAAGGGCTCTCTAGAGGGAGAGCACCAACAGGATATGTGGCTACGTAACCATATCACACACATACATTTATATCACACTGATATAGCTACATATCAAGAGGGAGACTGAGTTTAAGGAATTGGTTTAAACAACACAACAATTGGTTTAAACAACACAACAAATAAATACAAGTTGTATTTATTGACAACTTTGGAAGCTATACCCCTAACATCAGAGTGTTAGCAGGACTTCTTCCCCAAGGTCTCTCTCAGCTTGTACTTGGTGGCTTTCTAGCATCTTCACCTGTTCTTCTCTCTGTGCCTTTGTACATCTTTTTGAAAGATGCCAAAACTGCAGGAAAACAAAACAAAAAACCAAAACGTAGTCTATTCTCAAACATAGTCCATTATGGGTAACAAAAACCAACTTCCTAAGGCTCAACCAGCATAAAGGTGCATCACTGGATAAGGATATTATCTGAAACTTTTGTTATGATGTAAACAAAACACAGGCGGCACTACAGCCTAGAAGGAAGTTCTGGGACCCAGACTGAAGGGGAAGGCACAGGTGGTGGGAGATGAAGTTAGGGCCCTTGTCTGATAGAAGCTTCCAGAAGCCAGCCTGGTGTTTGGGGCAGATCAAAGGCAGGTGCTGAGATTGCCATTCTCATCTTCACTCAGGTGTATCAGTGTGATCTTGGCTGATTAATCCAAGTCTCAGTTTTTTTATCTGAAAAATGATGATAGCAAAATTTTCCTAGGGTTGGTGTATCTAGTCGACCATGAATTACTCCTGGCTAGTGGCCCTGACTTATGTTAGAGCAATATTGCATTAAAACACACACACACACACACACACACACACACACACACACACACACACA